CCCCCCTCTCTCCATCTCACAGTCCTGCGTTCCTCCTAAGGTGGCAAAAAAGGATAGCGGTAACCCACATCCTTACGAATAAAAAGCCCCAAAGGAAGGAGGGGTAACTTCCCCCAACTCCTTATATTGGAATTTAAGAAACACTCTGATTGGTCCATTTGAGTCACATGCATAGCCATGAACCAATCACTGTGCCCAAATGAATGAACTGCTGTGTGATTGGATGGTCCAGCTCACTAGCCCACCCAAGTGATTTGGTTTCCCAATCCGCTTGAGGATCTTTGAGTCTGGAGCCCAACATTGGTGAATTTTTGTCTCTAGCAACATACCTGTGTCTGCCCATCCCCTTAGCATCTATCTTGCCCCAGGTTACTATCTGGAAGGTGGAAAGACAGCTAATAGGCCCTTCCCAGTGAGGGTTTATAGATTGGGAATGTTCAATGTTGGAGAGCAGCCTGGGGCATCCTGGACACCCAGTTCTCTGATAATCCCAATCTTATCTCCTACCTCTTTATTAACTTCCGCTTTTAGCTTGGGGCAGAAAATTCAGCTCTGGCAATCTCACAAAATTGTGTAGATGCTAATGTCTGTTTATATTCCAACATCTTGATATTTTTCTCCAAAGCTCCTAAAGCCAGTCTCAAGAGACACACAGTTAGAATCCAAGATAAAATAGGCAACAATTTAATCAGCTATTTTTCTTCCATATAACAAAGATTCCCAGTTTCCGAGGAGGAAACCTCTTCTACAGGACTGCCATATACACCTGGGCAGGTTGTGCACTGCACAAATCTTGGGAGCCCTATTCATTTGTAGTGAATATATATGGAGGGTGCCAAAAAAAATGTATACACATTTTAAGAAAGGAAAACTATTAAAATTGTAATACTCAATATATACCAATAACAAAAGATGAATACAAGTCACATTTGTGGCTCTCGAATAATTTTTAAATTGTTGTGAGGGACAGAATTGGCTCTTCCAGGGATTGGCAAACTTTTGAGACGGAACATACCCAAAGAGCCGTGTGTGGCTTGTGAGCTGCCGTTTGCCGACCCCTGAGGCGCAGTTTGCCGACTCCTGAGCTAGAGGATAAAAATAGATTGCCTTATTCAATCAATACAACTCTATTCTTAGAGATGACACAGGAGTCCATATGAAGTGATGAAACCAAGATTCAAACATTCAAACACAGGTTTCCTAATCCCGCTGTTTGCACTGTA